CGGGCCTTAAAAACCTCCAAGAAAGGAGATTCCACCACCTCCCTCGTTAACCCATTCCAGTGCTTCACTACTCTCCTAGTGAAATAATGTTTCCTAATATCCAACCTAGACCTCCCCCACTGCAACTTGAGACCATTGCTCGTTGCCCTTCCCTGGCTGCAGTGGAGGCCTTAGCTTGCATGGGCCTTTCCTTCGAGAAGTCGAAAGCAAATCAAAACTGAAGCCCCTTTGTTTCCTGCCTCAGACTCAGTCGGGGTCGGAGAGGGGCCTGGGTGTGGCCGATTCCTGTGATTGGAGTGTAAGCCTCGTGTTATTTCGGGGGGTTCTTAAAGCCCCAGCTGCTGGAGTCATGTGATGAAGGGAGACTGCTTTCCATTTTAAAAGATGTGGAGGTTGTAGGGGGAAAAGGCTCAAATATGTGACGCTGGAAGGCAAATAAAAAAGACCCCGACCCTGAGCGAGTTACTAGACACTCAGGATTTTTACTGCTAGAGGCTGGCAATACCTGGTTCTGGCCAGTACTTGGCAGCGAGGTGGGAGGATGGGCTCTTGGCCGTTGAAGCAGGCATGTTGGACAGCAGCAGAACTGGACTTCCCACGCCCAACGCTGAGAGGCTATGGGGTATCCGAAGGAGCTTGGATTTCTGCCTGTCTCCTCCCCTCAATACATGGCCAGATCCTGAAGGGGAAGGGGGCCATCTCAGGGACAGCGTGGCAGCACGTGCCTTTCATCTTTAACAGCCCCTCTAAACATCAGAGTTCCCGAGATCCCGGCCTTGCTGAATGAGATCCCTGAGCTGCTGATCCCCCTGCAAACTTGCTGGGGGAAGAAGCATGAGATGGGGAGAACATGGTCTAGAGTGAGTGATGGACTGGGGATCCAGAGACTCAGATTCTAGTCCCAGCTGCCCCACTACTTCTGTGTGAGAGTGTTGCCACGATGCTGAGCCTGCTCTGTGCCTCAGTTTCCCCATCTGACAGAGCTGATCCCCTACCATTGCAAAGGGCTGCGAGATCCTCAGACCAAGTTCTCCAGAAAGGCAGTGTTTGTACCAGGGAGCCCTAACAGAAGCACTTTAAAATGTTGCCTTCCCCAAAGTGTCTGAAACCCAGAACAGCACTTCTAAATAGATCTGATTCCATAACATCCCAGGCTGAGTGAGAGGGGAAATGGGAGGGGTGTGGCCTGAGCTCCCAAATGGCGCTTTAATGCAACAACTCCTTTATTTTGTCAGCCATGCCGCGACGGAATGAGCAATCAAAGATCCAGCGTGATCCAGCCACAGCAGCTGGATTGATTTTGGACTCACACTGGGGCCCAGAACGCCACTCCAACAGTCAACAGCTCTTTTCTTTCCCTGTCATTTCCACCTTCCACCCAAGTGACACAGTCCTCTGCTCTTTGCTCAGGTGGCAAGCAGCCATCTTCTCCCTCCCTCTGAGGCTTGCCTTGCTATACCTAATCCCTTGCACTGGAGATCAGGCTACATGGGAAGGCAATGTGGCCGAATGGATAATGCCTTGGGTTAGCACGCAGAAGACCTAGGTTCTAGTCCTGGCTTTGCTGCTGGGTAACCTTGCGTGAGTCACTGCACTGGTCTGTGCCTCAGTTTCCCCATCTGTAAAATGGGGGGGATGAGACTGACCTTGTTGGTAAAGCACTTTGAGAGCTGTAGCTGAAAAGTGCTCTATAGGTATAAGGTATTGTGCATTGGGGAGCTAGTCCCATTTGCGATTACTTGTATCCCAAACACACAGGCCTCGAAACCCCCATAGAAGGTATCAGACCAACTGATGGCTTGGTAGGAATTGAAATCTAGATTTGGGTTTAAGAATCAAAGCGGTTAAGGGCTGAATTTCAAAAGCTGTCAGGGGAGGTCTGGATTAACTCTCCACTCAGCTCTCTCTCTTAGCTGAATGAATGTTAATTAAAACGACAGTGTCAAGATATTTCTCATAACTTTACAAATCATTTTCCTTCCACCTCGCTGCTATTTGTCATACAGAAGCTTGCAGCTGAGATCTGTTTTAGCCATATTCTCCCCTCCTCCACTGGAACGAACAGCTCCGTCTTGCATTCGATGTGCT